GCGGGATGGAGCTCCACGGTGCCTGCAGAGGGTGGGATGGAGCTCCACGGTGCCTGCAGAGGGGGGGTGTGGAGCTCCACGGTGCCTGCAGAGGGCGAGATGGAGCTCCACGGTGCCTGCAGAGGGCGGGATGGAGCTCCACGGTGCCTACATAGGGCGGGATGGAGCTCCACGGTGCCTGCAGTGGGCGGGATGGAGCTCCACGGTGCCTGCAGAGTGCGGGATGGAGCTCCACGGTGCCTGCAGAGGGCGGGATGGAGCTCCACAGTGCCTGCAGAGGGCGGGACGGAGCTCCACGGTGCCTGCAGAGTGCGGGATGGAGCTCCACAGTGCCTGCAGAGGGCGGGACGGAGCTCCACGGTGCCTGCCGAGGGCGGGGATGGAGCTCCACGGTGCCTGCAGAGGGCAGGACGGAGCTCCACGGTGCCTGCAGAGGGCGGGTGTGGAGCTCCACGGTGCCTGCAGAGGGTGGGATGGAGCTCCACGGTGCCTGCAGAGGGCGGGATGGAGCTCCACGGTGCCTGCAGAGGGCAGGATGGAGCTCCACGGTGCCTGCAGAGTGCGGGATGGAGCTCCACGGTGCCTGCAGAGGGCAGGTATGTATATAATATGTAATTTACACAATTATAACAACTATAATTTACATAATTATAACAATTTACACAGTTATAACAATTATAAATAATATGCAATTTACACAGTTTATCAAATGCGCTGTGACCCAACCTCCTCCAACTACCACCCATCCCTAATTTTTATTTTTTTTTTCTTTCCCACCCAGAATACATCCAGAAATATGCAACAGAAGAAGCACTAAAAGAACAGGAAGAAGGCACCGGGGACAGCTCATCCGAGAGCTCCATGTCCGACTTCTCGGAAGATGAGGCTCAGGATATGGAATTGTAGTAGAGGAGGCCACCTGCTTTTCAGAGAGACTCTAATTTCCTAACCATGAGAAGCAGACTATAATATTCATATTTAAACAAAGCAATTTTTTTTATTACTAAACAAGGTTTTTATGAATTATAGCATTGATATATATATATATTATATATATCACCCTTTAGATCTTGATTTTTCTCGGTCATTTTGYCCCCGATTCCCGAGGTGCATAGCGTTATTCCCAACATTCCATTTTTGGTAGCAATATGCAGCCCGGATGCATGCGTTGAGATTTCCATGTGGCCACGTCAACTTCGTGTGTGCTACCAAACAGCTGCCCTGGGAGGGAGGGAATTAGCAAAAAAAAAAAAAAAAAAAAAAAAAAAAAAA